TTACGTCAACACGTGTTACATTATTGGGATGAGCACGTGAACGAGCGCGTGCCTATCAATGAAATGATGCCACCCCCATCGCCCCTCTCTAATCACCTGAACGTAATTGGCAAACCCGATCTGCGGCTGGCAAAAATTTTTCGAAAACAAAAAATTGACAGAAATATTCACTCATTACGAATGATTGGATCCGTGTTTTTATTCGTGACTCCGTATTCGTTTTGACTTCTCAGTTTGGTTATTTAATGGCCAACGCTTCCTGCCATCGAGACCCCTCTCAATGATGTATCGATTATACACACTGTCCAAACACTATTTTCGTGTTTTTTTTGCTGATTTTCGTGGAAGGGTGCATCCTGGGGATAGGGGTTGAGTCTTCCTACGTAATTGTAAACTCGGGAGGGGTCCAGACCCTTCTGGTGGATAATTCGAGTCATATTGTGGGTCTTCGCTGAATATAATTAAATGAATAGGGAAATTAAAATTTATATTAAAAAAAAAATTGACATTAGGGGTGAACGGGGCAATATTGAGAGTAGAAAAGACTTTGCGCCATGAATTCTCGGCCAAAAGCAGACGGAAAAAGGTGAAATATGGCTCAAATAATTTGTTCCGTTTATGAAAACCGGAAGAAGTGAGTTGAGGGTCATCCAAAGAGGACAAGTAATATTAATAAATGTTTAAAAATGCGAGGTGGGGCCCTCCGAGAGGGCATCACAAGATGGCGGCGCCCAGACTGTCAGCCGCCTCGTATTTTCGAACATTTTTTGAAATTATTCATCCTTTTCATATCACGTTTGGCCCATCTTCATTTTTCAATTTGTAGACATCACAAAAAAACGAATCATCTCTAATCGTCAATAACTAGACAACGGCTGAGGCGAATTTCGCATTTTTTTTTTCATTTTCAAAATCAGATGTAACGCTCCCAAGTCCTCATGTATTTTTTTATTCATTATCATCTCAATGTTTGAATTGAGAACTAATGTTCATGTAAAGATGGACAACCTAAACCCGCACTCTCCCCCGAAATTATACATTTAAACGCAAACCACGCATTTGCGTTTTAGTTGGATTATAAAAAGGCATATGTACTGGTATCGTCGTGCGCCATCTTGCCCCGGCATGGACTCTTACCAACAGTAAAACGAAACACACGCTACTACCCACCCTATAAATACCGGACTGGTAATTGATTCGGTAATAACTAACTCAAAGCCCCTCTTCGTTTCTTCCTCTCGTTCCTTTTACCACCAGGTCTCTCTCGCGCGAGAGAGACTGTATATATGAGACTCGTTTCGAGTTCATGGCATAAATATGTATGTCGGTAATAATATAAGTGAAATGGGTAGGCTCTTGGGGGAGAGGAGAGAACCTCCGGGGATAACGCTTGTACGTCACGCCATTTTTGATAAAACGTAAGTCATATTCTTTGGGTATTTACATCATCTGAATTATCTTTATTTCTGGAAATATCATCGAGTAACAAAAGCCGTTGCACTTTTTTTTTCTTCCAGCTAAAATATAGTCGAAATGGTTGAAAATAACCAAGTGCCTTTTATAATCTTCAAATTCATCAATTGAATGGTTTCAGAATAATTTGAAATATGAATCCTTGTTAACAGGTCGCGAGGAAAAAAATACGGGAATTCGGGGAAAAATTTGTTCTTTTTTTAGGAACTCAATGAAGAGAGTTGGAGGTGATCTGAAAAGGTTGAATAATTTTAAGAAATAGTCAAAAATGCGAGGTGGTTGACGCACGGGGTCTTTCAAGATGGCGGCGTCCCCACCTCGTATTTTTAAACATTTTTTAAAATGATTTATCCTCTTTGGAAGAACGTCAACTCGCTTCATCTGATTCTTACAAAAGGAATAAATTTTTTAAGCCATCTGGATAATTTTTTCATCCAATTTTAGCTGAAAATTCATGGCGCAAAATAATTTTTGACGAAAAATTTTTTTAATCGATTCTAAATAAAGCTGAAATGATGACAACAAAAACATTGCAATATTTTCGTTAAACTAGGGTGAAATAGGGGTCAAATAGCTCTGAAATTCACCTACAAACATCAAAAATCCTGAACCGAAGGAAAAAAGTCCAAAACCCTCCGATATCGGTAACCACAAAATTAGAATAATCTCGAATAATCTCGGAACTTCAGTAAAACAAAAAAGAAAGGAGTGTTCTTATCTCAAACACGTTGTCTTCTTTATGTCCACGTGTTTTCGCCAACATAGGAAGGAAACCCCGAGTGCACCATCCGATAGAGAGAGATGGCAGGGGCGGAGGAAAAAGAAGCGCTGCAAAAATAATGAAAAAGAAAAAAAAAACCAATGAGAGAAATAAGAGAAGGAGTTAGACGCACCCGGGGCTTGGGGGTTTAGGATCGATCGTAGGGATAGGTGTTAAAACACGGCAATTAACAACGGGGGAAGACGGTTGGGAACGAGGTAGACCACCTTCCATGGTGGCAAGAAAGATTTACAACCGAAACGGGGCGTATTTATGAACTACGTCCTCTCGCACTAACTTGAAAATACATGAATACGAGAGAGAGAGAGAGAGAGAAAGAGACTTTGGATAACGTGTTGGGCTGGGGAAACACGCGTGGTTTAGACGAGATTTGCCAAACGATCGTTGATCATTTTTTCATATGGGGGAAAGGGGATAAAACAAAACAAAAATTCCATGCGAATAAATTTTTTTATTCACATTTTCGGTTTAATCTGAGGAAAAACAATGTGTAAACCAGAAATTTCCTTCATTCGTAGTTCTTTTTGATTCGTATTGCTTGAAAATAAAGTGAAAAAATGAGAAAATAAGAATTTGCGAGAAAAAATTTTGCACTATTAATTATTATTAATTGTTTATAATAATAATTTTAACAATAATAAAACCAAGTTTTCGAGTTTTTTTAAATTAATAATTAATAATAATTAATTGTTTTCCGCCATTAAAAAATATATTTAAAAAAATATAAAATATATGTTTCATATATTTTGTTATATATTTCTCAAAATATAAATTTTTCCGTGTCGGTTTTTATAAATTATTTTTTTATAATTGGGGTCTTATGTCTATCGACAATTTCTTGACGATAATTTTTTGAATTCGTGAATTTGAAGATAATTCATGGAATATATATTGTTAATCGTAAATTGGACGGCCATAACGGTGCATCATCGATGGCTCCACGAGTTCTCACTTCCTGTAGTGTCTCGTATACGTGTGATGAACGATCCAAGAAACTGGGGTCACAAGGTACTCCCGAAGCGTTTTTATTATAACTGCTGGTCCACGATGACCATGTTTAGGTGTTGGTTGGATTTAAGAGCATGTTTGAGGCAGTGTATTACCGAGGGGACCGATTATCGGTAACGAGGGGCCTCTTTAGTCACGTCTCCGATCCCTCTGGTTATTCAGGCACGTGCTTTCGCGGAGGAAAGCCTTTGCTTTCCCCAATTTCTCATTTTTTTCTTCCTCCCTTTATTATTTTTATTATATTATTTTTTAAACATTCGAAAACAAAAATTTTTAAGACGCGGAGAGAAATTCTATAGAAAAACTAAAATTTACAATGAACTAATTGAGCTAATAATTAATGTGACTGATGAATTATTCTCTCAGCTCGGTCCATCCGTTGACGGAACAATTTTTTCATTTCATCATTCACGAGAAATTCCCCAACTTGTTTTTCAGTTTTCGAAATGAGATTTGACTCACAAAAATGGCATCATTCACCCGTAAGATATTAACGATTGAACAAATTCTATTTTCCTCGATTCTCCTCTAGCAGAAAATTGGAATAGCAATTTGCAAGTGAGAATACCAGAATGAATTGTTTATGACTTGTGCATGGCCTCTTAAATCCTTATCCCCGTATGTCCCGAAGTGGAATAGCTCGAAAGAAGCCAATACATTATGCCAATGGTTGGTGAGGGCCCGTTAGGTCGCGTTAAGTTATTAGAGAATCAATTACGTGTGGTTCCTATTGTTTATGGCGGCCCTCAAGGGGCCAATCCCTCGACGCTCAATAACCCATACCAACAACAGCACACACAACCATTTGGCAGCGTTTAACGACCTTTTTGCCATCTTGTATCGTCCATTCGCCACTCAATCCGTTTTTAAATCGATTTTTTACATTCAATTATGGTTATTTCGTTTGTTATTGCATTGAGAATCATTGAGTGGAAAATATTTTATTATTGTGGAAATAATTTTCTCGTTAAAAGTTTCTACGCAAAAGTGATTAAATTGCTTTTCTTTTTTAGACTTGTGAGTTTGATGATTAAAAGTTACGGCGGTAAATTGACTGGAGGGGATCGACTTCACCAGGTGCCTAGTCGTTTCCCAAAATTAATTGACGTATTGATCCGTGTACACTACTGTGTGGGGCTTCCTCAATTCGATTACTTACCATTTAGGGTTTAGAGCCAACAAAACATTTAGCCACCCCCATGGAAACATTAGCATCTCTGTTTTACTTTAAGGAAATAAAATCGTATTATATACTGAGAGAAAAAATTAATAGAATGTTTTAAATTATATTAATAATTTTTCAAATTATATGAATTTTATATTCATTTAAAAAATTGATATAATTAATCAAATTAATATAATTTAAAACCTTTTGTCAATTGAATTGTTAAAAAAAATTGAGAAATGTATCGAAAATATATGAAAAAACATTATTACTTCGAAATTATCGTGAAATTCACCTGCATTTGACGGCTATTTAATCCTAAAACCCCCGAATAGTCAGTCGAGGCGTCATAATAATACGTTTTACCCCATTCCCAATGTACTCCACCCACTCCCAATAATGTAACAAGCACCCAAACGTGTGAATGATAAAATAATAACGTATCGTGAGCCCCTCGATCAGCACCAATAAACACATAGCCCCGTGTATCATGTACCATTATCACCAATTGTATTACCTCATTCTCTTCGTATATTCCATACGATAGTTCCAAAAAAAAAATAACATTTTACATGATTTATTAAATTTAATTTTACGCTTCAATCTCCATTCCACTCGACTTCATTCCTCCATTACAATGTAAAAATAAAAATCAGGGCGAAATATTATCCAAAATCCATGTAATATAATCCGCAATTCTCGTGTAAACTGCTGGAGTTGAGGTGCGACCACACGCTTTAGCTCCGAAAGATACTAAACCGATGAAATAGTATTTTGGTGGTCCATCGAATGCCTCGACTTTCATGAGGGGTCCACCACTGTCACCCCCGCACGAATCCTCACCGACAATTCCACCGACGCATAATTGTCCTTTACCCACTGATGCACTTTTACTAAATGCTCGAACGCAGGTACTCAGCGAAACGATTGGCAATTGAATTGTTTGAAGGATTATACTTGCTTGGGGGTGATCTATTTCAAAAGAAAAAAAATTGAAGATGGCAATGTGATGATTAAGCTCAGGTTCACGGCCAAATTTCATTCAATTAAATTAGAAAATGTCAGAATATCGGGTGATCAATATAATTAAGCAATTCATGATGATTATGTTTGAATGCAAAATACTAATTTTGTCATTACCTATGTCGTAAATACCCCAGCCACCAACTTCAGCCTTTTCACCGGTGAAACGTTTGCTCAAAAGCTCGCCATACGGCATGCAGATAGGTATGACATTCTCTTTAGAGAATAAAAAAAAATATACATCAATTGGAAAATTATTTTCGGGAGTTGATGGAGTATTTTTACCGTTATAAACCACCGGTCTATCCAATCTGATGAGTGCGATGTCGTTTTTAAAGCCCGGATCATGGTAATTCTCATTGACAATAATTTGCTCGGTGTTGAAGTCTTGCACAGGCTCGGCGCAGTAATCAAGCTCGCAGTCGGGATTCGTTTCGGCATTGTGCTCTCCCACTCTCACCGCAACGACCTTGACACTTTAAATTAAAGTAGAATGATTTTTCATTCGTTGGATCCGCCCCTTGCTCTCTTCGCTCACGCCCCTCCCTCTTCCTTCCGCTCACTTCGCTTCGAGAATTCCCTTCGTTCGTTTATATTACATTTTGAGAAAAAAAGAATTACGAACTAAAGGATCATGAGAGTTGAACTTTGCAAGGACACAATATTTTATTTGACGTAATATCTATGACCTTTCTGCTGCCCCCACACGACCCTTTTGACACTCGAAAAAATTCTGACCCTGATTAAGTCAAATCCCAATATCATGCCGACACAAGTCCGTTCGGAACGACTAGGAGAAAGAATTGTTTTTCATTCGTCGGATCCGCCCCGTGCTCTTTTCGCTCGCTTCGCTCCGATTATTAATCAATTGATCTAGAGTTCTCATGAGCACTGCGACCCTTATGACCCTTCGTTTGATCATTGGACGTCACAACAAGATTTAAAATAAATTTATGCACCCAAGGGTCATGAGAGTTGAACTTAGCAAAGACACAATATTTTATTTAAAATAATATGCATATGACCTTCAGGTTACCCTCACATGACCCGCCTGACCCTTAAAAAAATTCTGACCCTTATCATCATTGTGAGTCTCAATTTCATGTTGAAATTAATCCATCTGGAATTCTATGATATAAAAAAATTACCCGGGGGGTAAAAGAGCTGCACAATGAGCTGCCGTGACGACATATATTTTGCTGACTAAACTTCCTCCACATCGATAAGTGATTTCACTGGAGGCACCCGTCGTGTATCCTATCCTCACGAGCCATGGATACATCCCCAGAGATGCATTCTTACCTCCGATGATTCTATCAGCATTAGAAATTCCGCATTTCACGTGCTCTAGGAGGCCCCAGTGCTTGTGCTTTGTCACATCGTCAACTGGAATAATTTTTTTTTAATGAAGAGTGAAATTGATTTTCTCAAATTTTTGTTACTCGTACGTTCTCCGGAGCACAGGGAGATGCACACGACAGTGATGAGCCCAAAGTAACTGATAGAAATCATTTTTAGATTGAGAAGAATTTTTTTTACCGACGAAAAATTTGTAGAATGGTTTCTGATCGGGTTCAAGTTCGAGAACTGAGGTGTTGAATTTCGGATGAACGCCAGGAGCTGTTTAATTTGAATCTTATCGCTAGTAAACTCAGCGTGGCGATGTTGAACGCGTGTAATGCATCTCAGTAATAATTTCTTGGGTATTTTGAGATAACGAAAGACTCGTTAAAAATGCACTATGCGTTTTTCAGAGTGTGGGTATTCGCATCTGTGTTTCGATCGTGTACTACCCAGGTAGGAATTATATAGGCTGACGATGAAAACAAGCCTGTGCGAGCTTAGGTTTGGAGAGGTTCAGTGATTCAGGCATAGGACAGGCTTGATTTTTCAGGGGAAAGTCGATTGTCAGCAAAATCGAATTTTTCCGCCGAGTGAACGTCGATTCTGTATTTTCTGGCCCGCCTAATGCCACTAGGACCTTCACTTGCCCCAGAAATGCAGAAATAAAAATTTTTTTTTTTTCACCCGGAGCCAAACTGCCATATTTAGGCTTTTTTCGGGGGGAAAGTCGACATTCGCCAAAATCGAATTTTTCCGCCGAGTGAACGTCGATTCTGTATTTTCTGGCCCGCCTAATGCCACTGAGGCCCTCACTTGCCCCGGAAATGCAGAAATAAAAAATTTTTTTTTTTGCACCCAGAGCTAAACTGCCATATTTAGGCTTTTTTCGGGGGGAAAGTCGACATTCGCCAAAATCGAATTTTTCCGCCGAGTGAACGTCGATTCTGTATTTTCTGGCCCGCCTAATGCCACTGAGGCCCTCACTTGCCCCGGAAATGCAGAAATAAAAAATTTTTTTTTTTGCACCCAGAGCTAAACTGCCATATTTAGGCTTTTTTCGGGGGGAAAGTCGACATTCGCCAAAATCGAATTTTTCCGCCGAGTGAACGTCGATTCTGTATTTTCTGGCCCGCCTAATGCCACTGAGGCCCTCACTTGCCCCGGAAATGCAGAAATAAAAAATTTTTTTTTTTGCACCCAGAGCTAAACTGCCATATTTAGGCTTTTTTCGGGGGGAAAGTCGACATTCGCCAAAATCGAATTTTTCCGCCGAGTGAACGTCGATTCTGTATTTTCTGGCCCGCCTAATGCCACTGAGGCCCTCACTTGCCCCGGAAATGCAGAAATAAAAAATTTTTTTTTTTGCACCCAGAGCTAAACTGCCATATTTAGGCTTTTTTCGGGGGGAAAGTCGACATTCGCCAAAATCGAATTTTTCCGCCGAGTGAACGTCGATTCTGTATTTTCTGGCCCGCCTAATGCCACTGAGGCCCTCACTTGCCCCGGAAATGCAGAAATAAAAAATTTTTTTTTTTGCACCCAGAGCTAAACTGCCATATTTAGGCTTTTTTCGGGGGGAAAGTCGACATTCGCCAAAATCGAATTTTTCCGCCGAGTGAACGTCGATTCTGTATTTTCTGGCCCGCCTAATGCCACTGAGGCCCTCACTTGCCCCGGAAATGCAGAAATAAAAAATTTTTTTTTTTGCACCCAGAGCTAAACTGCCATATTTAGGCTTTTTTCGGGGGGAAAGTCGACATTCGCCAAAATCGAATTTTTCCGCCGAGTGAACGTCGATTCTGTATTTTCTGGCCCGCCTAATGCCACTGAGGCCCTCACTTGCCCCGGAAATGCAGAAATAAAAAATTTTTTTTTTTGCACCCAGAGCTAAACTGCCATATTTAGGCTTTTTTCGGGGGGAAAGTCGACATTCGCCAAAATCGAATTTTTCCGCCGAGTGAACGTCGATTCTGTATTTTCTGGCCCGCCTAATGCCACTGAGGCCCTCACTTGCCCCGGAAATGCAGAAATAAAAAATTTTTTTTTTTGCACCCAGAGCTAAACTGCCATATTTAGGCTTTTTTCGGGGGGAAAGTCGACATTCGCCAAAATCGAATTTTTCCGCCGAGTGAACGTCGATTCTGTATTTTCTGGCCCGCCTAATGCCACTGAGGCCCTCACTTGCCCCGGAAATGCAGAAATAAAAAATTTTTTTTTTTGCACCCAGAGCTAAACTGCCATATTTAGGCTTTTTTCGGGGGGAAAGTCGACATTCGCCAAAATCGAATTTTTCCGCCGAGTGAACGTCGATTCTGTATTTTCTGGCCCGCCTAATGCCACTGAGGCCCTCACTTGCCCCGGAAATGCAGAAATAAAAAATTTTTTTTTTTGCACCCAGAGCTAAACTGCCATATTTAGGCTTTTTTCGGGGGGAAAGTCGACATTCGCCAAAATCGAATTTTTCCGCCGAGTGAACGTCGATTCTGTATTTTCTGGCCCGCCTAATGCCACTGAGGCCCTCACTTGCCCCGGAAATGCAGAAATAAAAAATTTTTTTTTTTGCACCCAGAGCTAAACTGCCATATTTAGGCTTTTTTCGGGGGGAAAGTCGACATTCGCCAAAATCGAATTTTTCCGCCGAGTGAACGTCGATTCTGTATTTTCTGGCCCGCCTAATGCCACTGAGGCCCTCACTTGCCCCGGAAATGCAGAAATAAAAAATTTTTTTTTTTGCACCCAGAGCTAAACTGCCATATTTAGGCTTTTTTCGGGGGGAAAGTCGACATTCGCCAAAATCGAATTTTTCCGCCGAGTGAACGTCGATTCTGTATTTTCTGGCCCGCCTAATGCCACTGAGGCCCTCACTTGCCCCGGAAATGCAGAAATAAAAAATTTTTTTTTTTGCACCCAGAGCTAAACTGCCATATTTAGGCTTTTTTCGGGGGGAAAGTCGACATTCGCCAAAATCGAATTTTTCCGCCGAGTGAACGTCGATTCTGTATTTTCTGGCCCGCCTAATGCCACTGAGGCCCTCACTTGCCCCGGAAATGCAGAAATAAAAAATTTTTTTTTTTGCACCCAGAGCTAAACTGCCATATTTAGGCTTTTTTCGGGGGGAAAGTCGACATTCGCCAAAATCGAATTTTTCCGCCGAGTGAACGTCGATTCTGTATTTTCTGGCCCGCCTAATGCCACTGAGGCCCTCACTTGCCCCGGAAATGCAGAAATAAAAAATTTTTTTTTTTGCACCCAGAGCTAAACTGCCATATTTAGGCTTTTTTCGGGGGGAAAGTCGACATTCGCCAAAATCGAATTTTTCCGCCGAGTGAACGTCGATTCTGTATTTTCTGGCCCGCCTAATGCCACTGAGGCCCTCACTTGCCCCGGAAATGCAGAAATAAAAAATTTTTTTTTTTGCACCCAGAGCTAAACTGCCATATTTAGGCTTTTTTCGGGGGGAAAGTCGACATTCGCCAAAATCGAATTTTTCCGCCGAGTGAACGTCGATTCTGTATTTTCTGGCCCGCCTAATGCCACTGAGGCCCTCACTTGCCCCGGAAATGCAGAAATAAAAAATTTTTTTTTTTGCACCCAGAGCTAAACTGCCATATTTAGGCTTTTTTCGGGGGGAAAGTCGACATTCGCCAAAATCGAATTTTTCCGCCGAGTGAACGTCGATTCTGTATTTTCTGGCCCGCCTAATGCCACTGAGGCCCTCACTTGCCCCGGAAATGCAGAAATAAAAAATTTTTTTTTTTGCACCCAGAGCTAAACTGCCATATTTAGGCTTTTTTCGGGGGGAAAGTCGACATTCGCCAAAATCGAATTTTTCCGCCGAGTGAACGTCGATTCTGTATTTTCTGGCCCGCCTAATGCCACTGAGGCCCTCACTTGCCCCGGAAATGCAGAAATAAAAAATTTTTTTTTTTGCACCCAGAGCTAAACTGCCATATTTAGGCTTTTTTCGGGGGGAAAGTCGACATTCGCCAAAATCGAATTTTTCCGCCGAGTGAACGCCGATTCAGTGTCATATAGCCCCTCTGAGAAAATAGTGGTAGATAGCAATTATTCACGATAATGGCAGTGTTTTCATGACGAACAAACGATTCCTCAGGAGGAACAAATTAAACAAAGACTTCAAGAGCGAATTTTTATTATCTCATGAACATTTCCAAGCTTTGATCCAGGTCTTGACGAGCCCTCTTTCTATCGTCGATTCCTACCTGGTATATACTGAGGAGAATTTTACAATGCATTCAGTAAAATAATTGATCGCCTAATTTCCCAATTGACGATGAATTATATTCAAAAACATGGAACTACAAATTTTCCATTAAGTAGATAATTCTCAATTTCCCACAAGGGATTTCCAATTACCCAAATGAACCAAAAATGGTAAGGAAGAAAAAATTAACTCGCATTCGCTCACACCCAAATCCATTTATTTCCACCAATCAATCTCTCAATCACGAAACTTACAACCAACAAAAAAATCTCCTTATTCTACCTCCCTCCCATTATCATTCTTCAAAGTTTCTGCAGTTGCCTTCACCTCCTCCTTCTCCCCCAGATTCTTATCGCAGGAGGACTCCGAATGCTCCTCAACACTGGAACATCCACTGTCCTCAGACGTCTTCGCCTCTCCCTTCATAATTTTCTTGCAGGGCTCATTGCTCCCTTCATCCTCAGAACTGCTCAATTCCTCAGAATCAATATCGTCGAACTCATCGAGCAGAGTTTTTCTCTTCACTCCCTTGTCACTGACTTTTGTCTTCTTCCCCTCTAGATTTGACGTTGAGGCAGCAGCTGCTGTCTTGAAGCCCTGCTCAACAGCGTCGTCAACCCTCTCGGTCAGGATCGACCTCTCGTGCTCGTAATTCTTGTCCTTGAACTCGTGCTTCGGCTCAGCGCAGAGTCTCTCCAGCTTCTTCTTCTTCCTCTCAGCCTGCTCCTCCTTCCTGTTCGTCTGATTCTCAATCCACGCTTTCAGTCGTTTCTCCTCGTTTATGTCCCTCAGTCTACGACCACTCAGGTCTCTGCACGCCTCGCGATTCGTTGTCTTCTCTATTTGGGCACCTATCGCTCGTAACATTGACCCAAATCCTCCTTTTCCTCCCAAACATTTTGGAATTATTCTTGTTTCGTTTGAGAGGAAGGTCTCAGTGTTGGTCAGAGGTCTTCCGTTTTGGAGAAGGTAGAAATTGGCTTTTGAAAATCCCTGGATAAACAACAGATTGGGAATGATAATAAACGTTTATCAAATGAAGTTGAAGAATTATTCATGGAAATTGAACAATTCTTCAGTGGAATTGAAAAATTAACTAGAGAAAGTGAGATGGAGTGGTTCTTCTTAAATCGTCCGTATCTCCTGAACTAATGATACGTTTTGAATGCGTCAGGTCTCGTTTTGAAGGTATTTTATCAGGCTTCAAAACGAGAAAACAATCTTTAAATTTGACTCAGCCGATCTCGAATGATCGACGATTAAAAATATCGTTTTTATCATTTTTCAAAAAATGAGGTAAAATTACGTTTTTGAAAAACATGAATATCTCCTGAACAAACGGTACAATTTAAATGAATCAAACGCCATTTTAATGTCTGAAAAAATACCATTAAAATGAAAAAAAAATCTTCGAATTTCACTCTGCCAATCTTTAATTATTGGCAATTGCCTATTTAAGACATTCTACTGTGTCCTCACTCCTAAATCATCATATGAAAAAATGATAAAATTACGTTGAACAACTATGGCACGGAATAAAATAATAATTGAATGAAATTGAACAATCATTACATGATTTTGAGTAACACAAAAATTTATTAGTCATGAATTTAGAGGTTATACCACAATTGTAATGAATATTCACCTTCTGTTCCAGATGTTTCCAGAGTTCATCCACCGAATCACTCTTCTCAAGGGTGAGTACAGTTTTACAATCACGTCCAGACTCTAATTTAATTTCAAACATTGTCACTGCGTTTTTAAACAATTTAAGAAGACAATTGTGTTGACATCTTCGTTTTGGAGCACTGATGACAAACAAATAATGGCCGGTGACTCCTAAGAACGCCCTCTACACGCGACTATTCATTCAAAATTTAGATCCGATCAATTAGCCCCTCGTGTATAGATATTCCAAATTTTTATTTTTTTCCTCATTGAAGTAGTTTTGAAGAAAATTGCGAGCTAATAAAAAACATTGGCTAGTTAGTACTTTTTTTAAAGTACATTTTTGAAAAATCACCCCTGAAAAAAAGGCGTGATCGCTGCTACAAACTCGGGTCTACAACTCGGGCTTTCAATTGAAACCCCGAGTTGAAAACCCGAGTTTGTAGCAAAGATGTCAGACAAGATATGAATGTTTTTTTGGGCTCAAATGAAAGAGCGGGTCGAGAAATGGCGTGCTAGGGCCTCTAAAGATGGTTTTGAACCAGGGGAAACTCCTAGACTCCACTGGACAATGTCACAATTGCCCTTTTCAATTGAAAACAGACATCATCTTTAGAGACATTTGTCATCTTTAAAGACTTCTGCACGCCATTTTTCGAGCCGCTCTTTCATTTGAGCCAAAAAAAACATTCATATCTTGTCTGACATCTTTGCTACAAACTCGGG